GGTTACCAAGCAGTAGATTGTCGTCTACTTTGTCGAATGCCTTACTGAAATCTAAGTATACTATGCCCACAGCGTTTCGCTGGTCTACTAATTTGGTCACTTTATCAAAGTATGAAATAAGATTGGTTTGGCATGATCTGTTTTTAACAAACCTGTGCTGGCTACTAGTTATAACTTTGTTTGCTTCTAGTTGTTCGCAGATCTGTTTTTTGATTATCTTTTCCAGGATCTTTCCAGCTATTGATGTTAGACTGATTGGTCTGTAGTTTCCTGGGTCTGTTTTTTTCCCTTTCTTGGAGATGGGAACCACATCAGCCCTTTTCCAATCCTCAGGTGCTCCAGAATTTTTGAAAGATATGGTGCAATGGTTCTGAGATAACATCTGCCAGCTCCTTCAGAACTCTGGGATGTGTCGGGTCCCGGTGATTTATATTCGTCAAGGTCGGATAGGTGTTCTCTTACCATTTTCTTGCTTATTTTAATTTTTGTTTCTAGTTTGTCTTTTGCAGTAGTTTTTTTGGTATGTTGGGCTATAATTTCTTTTTGTGTGAAGACTGATGCAAACAATGAGTTAAGCAGCTCTTCTTTCTCCCTACTGCCTGTTACTTCCTTGCCATCTTCTCTGTTTAGTGGACCTACTGTTTCCTTGACTTTTTTCTTGTTATTAATATGTTGAAAGAAACCTTTTTTTTATTATCCTTGACTTCTGTTGCAAGTCTTTGTTCATTCTGAGCCTTTGCCTTCCTGACTTCATCTTTGCATGTTCTGTCTCTCTGCTGATAATCAGCCTTAGTTATGTGTCCCTCTTTCCATTTTTTGTACTTGTCCTTTTTGTCTTTGCAAAGAGTTCATCTATTTCTTCTGATTGGTTGGGTGGCCTGTAATATACACCTATGGCAATGTCACCTTTTTTCCCTTTTATATTGACCCATATACATTCTGGAGGGATTTTATCTTTGATCACGGGCATTTCTGTAGATATGTAGTGTTCTCTTACATATAGTGCAACTCCCCCTCCTCTTTTTGTAGATCTATTTCTTTTGAACAATTTTTATCCATGCATCAGTAGATTCCAGTCATGGGTTTCGTCCCACCAGGTTTCTGTAATGCCAACTATGTCATACCTACCCTCGTGTACTATTGCTTCTAGTTCACCCTGTTTCTTCACCAAGCTTTGGGCATTTGTATATAAGCATTTAAGACTTTTATGCCTGTCCGTGGGTATGTTTCCTGCATCTCCTGATTGTTGTTTGAGTTTTTCTTCTTTCTCATCACTCCCTACCTCATTGTTTGATTTGTTTTCTTGGGATTTATGACTGGTTTTGTGTTCTAGAGATTCTAAAGATTGGTCACCCTTCCCCCTTAATTTTAGTTTAAAGTCGTCCTGATGAGTTGGGCCAGTCTTTTTTCCGAGTACATTTTCCCCTGTTTTCGTGAGGTGCAGCCCATCCCTCGCCAAGAGTCCTTCGTAAGTCCTTTGTTCCAGTCTTTTTCTGAGTCACGTAGGAAATGCAGTCCATGGTCCAGGAAACCAATTTTTTCTTGACGACACCAACCCTTTAGCCAGTGGTTTATTTCTAGAATTCTTTTTTCCCTCAATGGGGGCTTGGCCTTTCGTTGGGAGTACTGATGAGAACACTACTTGTGCTCCTAGCTCCTTAACTTTATTGCCTAGTTGCTTATAATCTCTCAATATTGTACTCATGTTCTTTGTTGTGTCATTCATCTCAATGTGGAGGAGTAGGAGAGGGTAGTAATCTGTGGGCCTATTTATTTTGGTTAGGTTCTCGGCCACATCTTTGTTTTTTGCTCTAGGGAGACAACTTACGTCCCTGGATTGTATGTCCGTTCTGCAGATGGCTGTTTCTCTTCCTTTGAGGATAGAATCTCCTATTATCAACAATTGCATTCTGGGCTGCTTTTCTGTTTATCTCAGGTGTGTTTGTTGATGTGACTCTTTTAGGGATATTTGGTGTTGTTTCTTTTTCTAGGTGTCTGCATGTTTTCTTTGAGGGGGAGGTTGTGGGTCTGTGTATTTCCATCTAGGGGGAGAAATCGATTGCTCAATTTTAATGGGGCTGCTTCTGGTTGGGTTAGATTGGGCAGTAGGAGTTCGTTAGATGTATGCTTCTTCTTTCTTTGATTATTGTGTTTCCTTCTAGGTGTGACATACCTCCATTTGTCTTCCTCCAAGGGTTTATCAGTAGGGTCAAATCCTCTGGGAGTTATTTGTTCATTATTTGGTTCGGTTTGGGTATAGCTTTCTTGTGTAGGCTGGAGTTTGGCTAGAGTTGCCTCTAAGTCCCTTACTTTTTCCTCTAGTAGTTCACATAGTTTACATCTAATGCATGTATAATTTGGGTGTTCTTTGGGCATAAGCACATCCATGGAACATGTATTGCATACCACAATAGTATCAGTTGCCTGTTCCATGAGTTTGTTTGAAAATCCCTCTTTTTGGTTGGTGGATGTGCTTTGCTGTTAGCCTTGTTTCTACCTTCTCTGTTCTAGGTAATTACTTATGCCTATTTTTTTATCCTTTTTTCTGCCTGTTTGTGCACATTTTTCTACCTTGTAATTTATTTAACTTTCTTACTATTATGTTAGTTTTATTTATCCTTTTCTTCCCTCTATTTTTTTTAAGTTTTTGAGCTCCAATTCCTCCCTACCTTATTATTTAAGATTTACCTTGTTAAGATTTGCCTCTTTATTAGTCCTATTCTTCCATGATTTCTAATGTTCCACTCTTGTTTTTATTATTTGCCTATTTATTTAGCTTTTGTTTTCTGTCCTGTATTTATTTCTATTCTTTACTGGGGTCTACCCTCCCTTCCTATTGGGACTTTGAACTTAATTGTTACCTTCATTTCTGTTGCTTGCTGCTCTGGCCTCTTGTTGTTTTCTCTGCCAGCTCCGATCTGTCTTTCGCTGCTCGTCTCTGCTCTGGTGAAGCTTTCCAGTCAGCTCAGCTCGGCTGTCTAGTCTGCTCCTCTCAGCCAGCCACTCAGCTTTAGAGATCAGAGCTCTCTAGCTTGAAGCGTCTCTGTTGCTGTTGTTGCTGCTGCTGCTGCTGCTGCTGCTGCTGCTGCTGCATTTCTCCCCTCCTCAGATTTTGCCACCACCAATTCCTCACAGCCGACGGATTGCTCAAGTACTTCAAGTACTTCAGGATCACCTTGTTTGTTCCCCAAACTTTGAGCGTTAGTGTATAGGCATCTGAGTCCTTTATGGCTGACCCTGGGTATGCTACCTATATCTCCTGGTTTGTATCTTGAGTTTTTCTTCCTTCCCATCACTCTCTACCTCCTTGTTTGATTGGCTGTCTTGGGGTTTATGCCTGAGATTAGGTCCTAAAGATCCCCCCCTCCATTTTAGTTTAAAGCCCTTCGGATAAGCTGAGGCAGTCATTTTCCAAATAGATTCTTCCGGTTCTTGTGAGGTGCAGCCCCACTTACTGGGCTGAGTCCACTGGCTAGTTAGCCTCATGTCCCATCTCGGGGTCCCAATTGTTAGAAGAATAATTGGGGTTTCCATGAGCTGGGGTGGTGCAAGAACAAATAAAAAAATTAAATCCAGACATACTGTGAGAAAAGGAGATCCATCTTTATTCCCAAGAACAAAGAGCTCTGCTCTTGAGGGTAGACTACAGAGAAAATGGGATACAGGGACTTGGTTTTATAGGGGGACTGGTTCCTTGGTGTGAATTTGGGGGTGTGGTTTGTGTATATGTGGGTTTAACGTGTCCTTCCTGTGCAGTTTGTGATGAACCTGAAGTTTGTGAAATCCGGGTGGATTTATTATGAGGGAATCTGGCGTCTTCCTTACCCTGAGGGATATCCAGTTTTTTGATGTCTTCAGTGGGATGCTAGAATAAGTGTTAGGATTGTATGCTGATTGGCAGATCAGAAGGCTGCTAAAAGGAGGGGGGCAGATCAGAGATTATTTAACTTCCAACACAGTGATTTTCCTGTTTTCACATGAGTTAACATTTGAAAAGAGACTTTTTCAGACAAATTAAGCTTACCATTTCTTGATGTAAACCCTTTCAGCATTAGGTTAGTGTGAAAACAGGAAGTATAATTTTCTTGAATTTACTGCTTCCTGTATTCCAAACAAATTATTTGAATTAGTCATCAGTTCTGTAGGCAGTAGGGCAGTAGGCAGTAGGGATTATATCTACTATGGCCTTTTGCTTCAAAGAAAAAATTCAACTCAAGCCACTAAAAAATTAATCAGCCCTGAATTAGTAGGAGAAAGTGGTGGGTGTTAGTCTTTACTCTTTGTCATTTGCTGTGCTTGAAGAACTTAGACTCCAAATAAGCAGATCGGTGCATATTTACTCAAGAGCTGGGATCCTTTACCAAAATACTTTTAAGTCTAATATATATACAGCCTGGCTACCTAATTACTGACACATTATTCAGCCATACTGAGATTTCTCCTATTACATTAATGACATACATTCATTCTATTCACTTTAATTTCCTTTAGATTCCTTATTGGCAGGGAGAAGCCAGGAGAGCAGAGTGAAGTGGCACAACTGATCCAGCAAACACTGGATCAAGAACAATGGCAGCGAGAAATGATGGAACAGAGGTATACCCAATATACAGAGGAGGATGAAGAAGTAAGTATAATCAATTTATCTTTGTCTGTGGGGAGGAGAGTAGTAGAGCTCTAACGTTAAATTAAGGGAACTTGTACAGCTGTTAACATTTTGTGAAGACCATTTTAGCTACTCTAATGAAGCTATGCTTTGACTAAAGTTGGAGTGCTCATAAATTTCCTTAGCCCCCCCCCTTTTCCTATATAACTGGTAGACCTCTAGGTCCTGTGTCTTCCTCATCTCTTTTTCTATGCTTCTTACTAAAATGGTTTTTGTATTTTGCTGCAGAAATGATACTGGCTCAGAAAGAGCAGAAACAAGCTAAATGTCCTTGTTTCACATGAGATAACATTTGAAAAGAGAAATATCTCGGAGAGTTGTACAAGTTTTTAGATTGAAATTAGCTTGCTCATTTCCTGATGTAAATCCTTCCAGCTTTACCCCTGATTAAAAACAGGAAGTATAATTTTCTTGAACTTACTACTTCCTGTACTCTAAGGAATTATTTAAAGTAGTCCTTAGTTCTGTACTATGTTTGTATGCTGTCCAGATTGTGAGATGTAAAAAGCCCAAATTTTGATACTCACAATACGAAGACAAGTCTGGTTAACAAAACAAAGGTTTATTGGAGAATAACATACAAAGAATAAAAAGAAAAGAAAAGAAATATAGAAGAGAGGAGTGTTTGCAAACGCGGCCCCCTGGAGCCTTCCCTTTTGGATTGGTTTCCAGGAGCACGTTGGCCTGGTTTCAAGTTTTGCATTTTATACCCTACACATCTGAGAAGCTCTTTCATCTTCCCCCTCTTTGATAGTAGGATTTCTACTCAAAGTGTAAGTTAGTAAACATTTGGTCATCCTGTGTCCGGAGAATTTTTAGGCAGGAAATCCTTGTTGATTACCATTTGTAGTCACTTTTACATGGGCAGGAAACAGTAAACATTCCTGTTTCCTTTTGACATTACCTTGTTACATTTGCGTTACAGTGTTACATTTGTACTAGAGAGACAGTGTC